CGTTGGCTTCCGATTATGTAATTCAAGGGGTGAGAGTTGCCAAAGGTATTGATTCATTCTCGATGAATGGCCTGTCTATAATAGACAACATTTGTATGGCCGGTCTGGTCCAGCGGAAGGTGTTGTCGCATTCCCAATACAGTCGGCTATACATGCACGAATTTTTTCGGACAAACGCTTTTTTATTTAACAATCTAATTTTTCTAAGATGGGCGAATCACATTAAGTGTGAATTTTTTCCCTACTTTTTTTCTCGTAACCCAAATTACTTCCAACTTATTTTGCCTTATTGATTTCTAAATTAAAGATATACTAATTTTTAGTAGTCCTATTGTTATTTTGGTCATCATTTTTGACTAACTATAAAGAAAAAATAAGTAAAATAAAACCGGTTTAACGTGTTTTTTCTTCATTTGAAAATATGGAGCGGGGTTTTTTCAATTGCCATATTTCGAATAACTAGAAAACCGGTTTTCGAAAAAGCCGAATAATCCAACACCCTAATAATTCATAAATATGTGCAATGTATCCGTAGCAACTCGGTCCTGTCTGACAACGGAAGGAAAAACATTGTGGTGGTCGTGTGCCAATTATGAACGCTGAAAACAGTATTGATGTTTTTATTAATACTTTCTTTAGCATTCCTTTCCCTAAATTATTGTTTTGCTATATTTGCTTGACTTTGTCATTTAAAACAACATCTTCCTCGGAAACGGATGTTGGCACTATGACAACCAACAACGTTCTCATACTTATGCTGAAGTATGCATTATGCTTCCGTTTCCGCAAGCATGCGCTTAACTTTATGCTACAACCATAGGAGAATAATAATAATGGTTGCTCTCTAGATTAACAAAGCAAAATATATGTATATGTACATATGTACATACTTACATATGCAAATACGATTGTGTTTTTGTTTATCATGTACTAAGTTTGGTTTGGAATTTTCTGAAGAATGTTATGTTATGTTACGTGTGAGTTCCTTTCTGTATATTCAATCAAATACTGTATGCACGGGGTTTCGGCTGTTTGAAATCACGGTTTTGGCTTTGTATAAAAATTAGGCGGAAAAGAAAACAAAAAAAACATCAATACTATGCCTCCATTGAGAGATTTACCTATTAAGATTTAATAAATCCTGTTGCTAAATCGCAACCGTCTTCATTGTCACAACAAGATATGTTTGACATTAAAATGTTTAAATATTTGACGTTTGCTTGTGTATGATTTTATAAATACAGTTGCGGACATTGAAATAGAGGCAGATAAAAGGAAGGTAACAGGAGCGGTATTGCATTATGTGAATTCTTAAAATCATTAGCTAACGGTAATGAACAATATTTTCGAAAGAAAGAGCTGTTGGGGAAATAAACACTCTTATTCATAAGAGTGAACCGAAAATCCAATCGTGGGCCTTTGGCATATAATGAAGACCTAGCTAGCAAATATGACTGCCAATGCATTTATTGACCGAATTGAGTTTTAGAGGAAATTTAGTGCCATGATATCGAAGCAGAACCATTGCCGAATTTTATAAATTTTTTGTCGCAGCGCGTAAATGATTTATAGAAAGCGAAGATATTATCATAAAACATATTTTCCAAGGCTGCAAACCGGTTTTAAACTGAACCGATTTTTGACATGAACCATCGCTTTTCTTCGGTCTTCGAACCGAACCATGACTGAACCATTTTTATTTTGAAATGCTAAAAACGAACCGAAAACCACACCAAAAAAATGGTTCGGTTCGGTTCAAAATCCACTAAAACATTTTTCAAGTTTTATTATATATAACTTTGTTTAAAAATGCAACCTAAAACCGCAAATATTTTTGAGTTTAATGGGATTACAATTTCGCATATTTAATTAAAGTTGAATGAGCTCTAAAACTGTATACTCGGATTTCTTTATTTCTGAATAAAAGTTTGAAACTATATTGAAATTTTGTTGAAGATTGTAGATTTTTTCTAATTTTTCGTACAAAGTTTTAGATATGGATATGGTTGTCGTTATATAAGGAGTATACTTTTATAAAAATTTTACGAACATTAAATAAACGAAAGAAAAATGGTCAAATACCACACTAATATTATTTTGACTAGAGCCTCTATACTCGACTTGTCCAAGTCTTAAATAAGTTTATTCATATTTTTCTAATTTCTCATTGATCGCGTTGATTTTAAATTACTTTTTTGTTGAGTGTATTACTCATTTTTTTCATACAAAATATTCGTCGAAAATACATGTATGGAAGAAAATCCGTGAAAAAATTGCCAAAAATCAATTTAATTAAATAATTAAATTAATAAAATTAAACCATTTTTCTAGAAATTCGTATTGAACAGTTAGATGAAACTTTGAAGAATTTTCATAATTTCTGCATAAATTTTTAAACTTGGATCTATTCGGTTTTTATTAGAAGACACACTATACTTAAAACAATAAACATTAAATAAAAAAATTGCCAAAATTTTTAAAATCCGCGTCCCTATTTATTTTTCCACCACTATATATGTCGATATTTGAATTTGGTCTCAATAACAAAGCCTTTTATTTTTATATATGTACGTAGATTTGTCGTATTTTTGTAATCTTTGTATCCTTTGGCATTCAAAAAATTGAATCATTTGAACCGAACCGAACCGCGGTTCAGAAATACTCATGATCCGGTTCTTAAACCGGTACAAGCTTTTTCTAATTGGTTCGAACCACTCAACCGAACCGCCCCATTTTTTGGAGTGGTTCGCATCCCTGATATTTTCTGATAGTTTTTAAAATAATATTATTTTAATTTATTAAAGTTATGTAAATATTTTCTTCTCGTCTAGATTTCATTGTCTGCAACAGTGTTGCCGTTTTAGCCCTTTGGTGACTAGATTTAGCTACCACATACTTTTCTTGGCCACATAAATTTCAAATTGCCACTAGCCCTTTTTTAGCTCTTTGAAAATTTTTTCATCCTTGACATGAAAAAGTTGTATATGCTGAATTTGATCTCATTTTTTTCGTTTATGTAAGAGATGAATTTTATACTAAGAAAGATTATATGAGATTGTATATGTATTGTATGTTCCCTACGTTTTTATAAAAACTATAAAATTGTTAGGGCCGTTAACTTTTCTTTTAACTACTTAGCTATACTTTAAAATAGGTAAGTTTACAGCCTTAAATACACTTAGGGCCGTTTTCTCAAGTAACCTGTAACTTTAAAGCCCACTTTGGTTTAAAACTTATTGTTGTGTCTAAAGTAAAGCATTTTATTACCGGTTTTAAATTGGCTTAGATAATAGATAATAGAAATGCTTAACTTTAGACATAGCTTTATTTTTAATCCAACCTTTAAATACAAAGTGAGCTTTAAAGATAACGGTTACTTCAGAAAACGGCCCTTAATGTGTTAAAGGGCCCATAGATGATACCAACATGCTGGCGCCATCAAGTGTTGGTGCCAGCCGATTGGCCGTGTATGTTCTTGTGGTGTGATTTTACCAGCTACCGATACGACAGCAAAACGATTTGAAAATTTTATGATTGTACCAGCATGCTGGTGTCGTAAATAGTGAAACTAGCTAATTTTTTTAAGTAAAAAGTATTTTCCCGGAAATTTCTTGCGCTATGAGTTAGGGGCACACGCCGCCGCCGTTTTTTGTAATTTTTCACTCGCTGCCACCGATTCATGGAAACTTCGGCGCGGAGCACTATAGGGGCATTCCAAAGGGACGGGTGGGACATTTTAACTCGTTTTGGCTCAAACTTTTAGTAAATTCTCTTTAACCATTGGTTTGACAAGTGTCAAACTGTGAACACTTGAAGTCAGATATCAGTTTAATACGAAGCTGATAAAGTATAAAATTTAATTATATAATTTACACAGAAATTTAATATTTTCCAAGCGTGACGGATGGACAACGACGACACCCGCTTTTACGGGTTGTTGGATTCGTTTCCCAATTTTAGACAAACTATAAATATTTCGTTTATAGCGGCTTTCTCGAATGTAGGTAATAGAATGTTAAGTACCATTTTATGCTTTAATGGCATTATTATATTTTAAAATTAAGAAAAAACACTATTTTTGCTTGTGACGGGTGGGGCACATAGTTCGTGAATAAAATGAACACTGCTGATTTGATGTGAATATTTATTATACTTTTAATAGGGGCACTTCATTTAAAGAATGGGAAACTTAAGAATTTTTGTATGTTACGTTAAAAAATACATATTCCGATGCGACATCCAATAAGCATTTTTTGAACGCTTATAACTTCTCACCATAAATGTATTTTTCTAATAACTTAACACTATTTTAAAGCTCATGAATTGTTCTTTCTTTTTGGATAATTATTTTTTGCATTGCCACCTTTTATAGATGAGGAATGCCTTGAAAACTTGATGCAAAACAAATTGCAGTATTTTATATATATAACACTAAAATAGAGAAAATAGTGAAAAATAAATGGACAAAAATCTATTTCTAAAGATTTATTCTAGCTGCTTTACTGTTTTTACAGATTTAAACACAATTTATGCAGCATGCTGATATGTTATATGCTTCGAGCCTGATGGTACAATCACTTGATAGTGCCAGCAAGCTGGTGTCGTGAATTCGCCCATATATATATATATATGTAAGTAAAGAATTTTAGCTAAAATTTTAAGCCACAACGCATTTTTTTAGCTCGTTTTAGCCCCTTTTTTAAAAGGAATTTGGCTACCACTAAAAATGATTCGCGGCAACACTGGACCGCAACTGTATGTTGAAAATACAAATGTCATATGACTTATGGCATGTGAATTCGTGGTTGCCAAACCCAACAAATTGTATTATTGATCAATATTATTGAAGTTTTAACGAAGATTTAACTTAAATCTATTGCCTTTCGAGATTTAAATTTATACGATAAATCTCGAAAGATTTAACGTTAAATCTCGCCAGAGGGTTAAATCTTCATTAAATCTCACAATGGAGACATAGTATAAGAAGACGAAATTCTTACCTATTAATGGATGACACACTGGGGACATTATCTTGCGAACAAATACCTTCCGCTAGAAGTCTATCTCGTATCTCCCATGCAAACATGGTTGGGTTTTCACGTTTGTAATTAGCTATCGCATCAACAACAGGTGGAGTGGCAACTTTAGGTTTCGAGCCCCCTATAACACCGGCTTTAAAACTCCCAGTCTCGTAATACCTATGAATGGAAACGATAAAATATCATAAAATAATGCATATACTGTTAATACAAAATTAGTGAGTACAAACGTACATAAGTAAATCGGAAAATTTTAACTAAGATTCAATATATTACACACGTTCTCGATAAGTTTAGTAATACGTTTATATAATTATAAATACTAGTATCGCCCAGTTGTCAAAATTCGATTTCTTGTATAAACTTTTAAATTTTGCTTGTCACCAATATCGACTCCTTTATGCGAATTACGATTTTGAAGTCCACTTAAGTTATAGCGAATTTACAGGAACACTTAAAACCAAACTCCTTCAGTAGCTTTCAAAATTAGATCGAGAAAGGAACTTGGCACTCGCTCGTTTGCCGAGCAAGCTAACTTCTCGTGCCTCGCCCCGTGATGGAAAAGTAGGCTCAGTAGTGCCATTTTTGGAACTTTCATTCACAGAGGCACTTTTGGCACAGTTCATCCTGTTTTGGCACAATCATTAAATACAGAAATTTAAAATAAAAGGCCACTATATAACAAAAAATCGCATACCACATTATAGATAGATTAAAAACAAGTAAGAAAGTCTAAGTTCGGGCGGAGCCGAACATTAAATACCCGGCGCAAGTATTAAATATATGTTTTTCACCTTTCCGAAAGCTACCGCTACATGGTAAGCCGGGGTGTATCAATTTTGAGAAAATTAGCGTCCTTAATTTTCGAAATATTGAAGTTTCAAGCATTTCTGAAATTTACCGTTAAATGAAAAGCGGCCGTAATTTAAGACCGATTTCAATAATTTTTAACATTTTGCTTTTATGTGGCAAGCACAATAACCATACCGAGTTTGGTACAAATTGGTAGAACGGTTACCGAGATACATATATGTGATCATAAGTGGGCGGTGCCACGCCCATTTTCCAAAATTTTATCATAAACGTATTTCTTGGTAAAGAGTTGTTGCAAGCATCAATTTTGAATAAATTAGCTTTAATATTTACTGATTTATCGAAGATTTTGTCGAAATTTGGTATGTAGGTTTCCTTTAATCCAGGGTAGGTTGGCATTGAAAATGGGCGAAATCGGACTGTAACCACGCCCACTTCCCATATAACGGTAATTTCCAGAGTTACGAAAACTGCGATATTTTAGTAACTACTGAAGATAATTCACTGAAAATTGATATTTACAATAACTTTCAGACGAAAAATAAGAATATTATAAATTTTTGGAAAATGGGCGTAGCCACGCCCACTTATGGTTACATTTGTATATCTTGGTAACCGCTGCACCAATTTCTTCCAAACTTGGCAAAGTTGTTGGCCTTGATACAGCGTATTAATGACCGAAAATTTAAAAAATCGGACAACAACCACGCCCACATCCCATATAGCGGTAATTTTCGGAAATAGGAAAACTGCGATATTTTAGTAACTACTGAAGATTATTCACCCAAAATTGATATTTACAATAATTTTTAGACGAAAAATAAGAATATTATAAATTTTGGGAAAATGGGCGTAGCCATGCCCACTTATGGTTTCATGTGTATAGCTTGGTAACCGCTGCACCAATTTCTTCGATACTTTTTTTCGATACTACTTCCAAGTAAAAGTATTGATACCGGCATGGTATCGTTTCATCCCTACCCTGCAGTGAAACCCCAAACTAGTCAGGAAAAATTCTAGTTTATAACTAGAATTTCCTGACACAAACCGAACTAGTTCGAAAATGATCAGACTTGTGCCAAGTACAAAACGATTTAGTCATGCCATGTTTTATTTGACTTCGACAGTTTAATACAATAAAGTACACAAAATATTATAACTTTTATTTGGGTATATTTTGTAAACCAATAAATCGAGTACGTATTCAATTATACCAGACCTGTTAAATAATGATAAATATTCATAATGATTATTGATTAAAGCATGTTTTTGGATAACCGTTTAATGATTACATACCGATATTACCACCTTTTAAATGATTAATAATGACTTACTTAAAAAAAATGTTAATTAAGTCATTAATTTTAATTACATTATTATTTTGTTATTTTTGATTATTTTCAACTATTTTTGACTTTTTTTAATTACACGATTAACATAATTATTTGCTAATTTCTATTATCAATCAACAAGCCGAACAATGGATAAAAATTAAGAACTATTTTTTTATTTTATTCTTATCCAAATCTCAAATTTTAAACATTAATTATTACCTTTATAATTTTTTAAAACTAATATACTAAAATGTGCAAAGTTAATGAATTTAATTTATTTTAATGAACACTTTTATTTCTATTTTAGTTCACTCAAAAATGAACTAAAGTATTCATTTTATTTTTAACTAAAATGTTTTCTTTTGCGTATTCAATATTATTAAAAAAGATAAAAATATAGTATTTATTGTACCTGAAACCTTTTACTTTTAATAACATTTAATGAAAAATGCATTTAAATTTATGTTCGAAAGTCTGGAATATTTATGTATTTATTTTTGCTTTTAATTAATACTGAAAAAAATTTAACACTAATTTTTGGCAAATCTAAGGCTGCTAAATAAAAATGTGTAATATATTAAAGTGCACTTAATCAAAAGTTTTTTATTGTATATTGATGACTTCGTTTCATTTTTTGACTGCCAAAGTACTGGTTTTGGTCCATAATTGGACTATCATTTTTCTGCCTATTTTGAACTAGTATGAGACTGGTATATTTCTGACCGAAATCTGACAATTGCCATCTCGTAGGACATCCCCATGTTAAAAATACCAGTTGATTGCATGGAAAAAAGATAGTTGGCTGACTAGTTGGGTATGCGGTTCATACTAGTTGTGAGGTAGTTTACAACTACATTTGACACAGGGTACTTACAACAAACTCTGAATTCGTGGAAGCACATAACGCGAAATGTTCACCGACAAAATTCGATCGACATTCCGTTGGCTTATACGATGTTTCGAGGATTCGTAATTCGCTCTCTAAGTAATTCGTGAATTACCCTGTTTCCATGACACACATTAGTACTTCGTTTGGCAGCTCTAGTTCTTGTTCTTGTTCTGCGCTATTTATTATTATTTTTGTGTACTGCAAATATCGAAGATGGAGCTAAAATTTAAGTTATCATCAACAATTCTAATTTGTATAGAGAATATTTTGTTAATATTATTCTATAACTAGAAAAAGTGCCAGCAATTGGGACCTGGCCGGTGAAAACTTCGATATATTTCCCATAAATATTAGAGAAGGCACCGATTCGTTCGTCATTCGCATGGTAATTCGATCTGAATTACCAACAAATGAGGTTATTCGCTCTCAAAATTTTGTATGGCGAATTACGTAATTCGGAAGGTAGTTGGCTAGGCGAATGACGAATGGGAGAGCGAATTACGAATAAGAGAGCGAATTACGAACCGTGGAAATGCCGTATAAGACGGCAATGGAAATATGCCTTCTGACAACCACCAAACCGTAATATTAGAAGATAATTAGAAGATAAATGCGTTGCGATAAATGCGAAAAATGTTGGACCAAAATGTTTCAGAACAAAAACGTTATTTTGGGCGGGACGGAGTTCGCCGGGTCTGCTAGTCCTATTATAATTTAAATGGGTTTATAACATCTTCCTATAGTAGTGCGAATTGCACCAGCACCATGCATTCAGCTGTTTTTCTTATTGCAAGTTAAAATTTGAGCAGTAAAAATTTGCAACTTCCCATTCAAAGGAACTGTAAATTTCTCTTTCAAATTTCCTCTACTTTGAGAAATTTTTGGATACATTAACACCAAAACGTAATAATTTGTGATAATTGTTGCAAATTATTTGCTACATGTCTGTTCATGTAAAAAATATCCAGTAACTGAACAATAACTTAATTTTCAGAAATCGCTCTCGATGAGAGAGCTACCCTAAAAAGTACGAAAATAAAAAGCTTAAAAGTGGTTACTAGTTTTATGATATTTTAATACAAGGTTTTATTAAGCAATTCAAACTTTACAATTCCAAAAGTGTATTATTTTCGTTCAGTATAATGCAAGAAGCTGCATGTAAAGGGCTGTTTTTCTTACTGGCGAATTGTTGCAAAAAAGAATTTATCTAGTAAAATCTTGCAACTTCCTCTGAAAATTTTTCTCTCTCAACTTCTCCAACGCCAAAGATGATAATTTGTAACAATTGTTACGAACTATCAGAAACTAGTACGTAAGCATACACAAAGCTTATTTCCGAACTGCAGAAACGTCAAAACCATGTGCCAATTAGAGCTGTAAAATTATCAATGGTACTATCGATACTATCGAATGATTCTATTTTTTTGCTACTATCGATAGTCTTTGTTTGAGGAAATATACATATTGTTTATATTATATGTACTACTTGGTATGCATCTCTTTACTTTTAACCGACTTTTATGTATGTTACCGCATAACTTTAGACCACGTTAACCGATTTTTCATCGGAAAGGTGGCATCTCAAGGGTGATCCCATACTAATTTTGTTTAGATCTGATAATTGGATCGCAAAGAAATTAACCGGGTTTTACATGGTTCAAGTATTGAATTCAATTCTGTTTGCTAGTGGAAGAGAGAGGTTGAGAAGGAAAGGTAAGAGTACATATGCGTCTGTACCGTCAAGTGGTTTCAAGTTTCTTGCTTTGCTTTTGACATTTTCGTTGTTTCCCATTTAAAGAACCAAAAACTGGAATTCAGCGAAATTTAGGCGTGTAAAAGCAAATAGAAAACGCAAAAGAGAATGAATCAGAATTGCTTTAAAGTACTTGTAAATCGAGTGTAATTAAATTTGATAAAACCAGTTTAAATATCTTTTTGGAACCATACTATGGTGTTAGTGATTCTGCGTCGATGGAAGAAACTATTGATATAAGCCAGGGTTAGTCAAATTTTTGGAGATTCTTGTATTTCCGTTTGATACTTTGAATGGATAAATAATCATGTAGAAGTCGCAGTACGGTTCGGTTTAGGTTCTTTTAGCACAAGCTTGAAATATGGACTTT